TGTATTTATTGAGGTCTTTTTTTAAAAAAATTTATTTATGTTTAATGTAAAAAAAAAAAAAAAAAAAAACTCGAAGCCTTTCAATGGAAAATTTTTATTGTATTTTGAAAATATTAAGTATTTTTGACCAATTATAACATACCATGTCATCATATTTTACTGTTAAATGAGCTAACATGATTAATGAGAGTTGACCGAAAATACCACATTAACGATATCCCAAGATATAGTAAACTTTCTCTTTTCAATGCCTTCTTTACGGATGTCAACAGGGTCTTGTAAGGTCGGGGAATCGCTCTTCGTCTCCGTTCCCATAAATGGTTGGGATGGGAATTCTGGTGAAAATTTTTGGCGGAAGTAGATTTTGCACTCCATCCCCATTCCCCATCAATTAATATTCAAATATATATTTTTTACATTAAACATAAATAAAGATTAATCAAACATAAACTCTTCCAAACATAAGTTATTCCAAAAATAAATAAAGATTAATCCAACATAAAACAACATATTTGTTTCAAACATAATCAAAAATTAAGTTAACATAAATAAAATAACTAAACAAACATCCAGCATGAAGGGAGGCAACCAAGGACCAACTCAAAACACCTTAGCTCTCAAAATCCACAATTACTCATAAAAAAACCTACAATATAATTAGTAAATATTTCATATTAACATATTTATAAAAAGAACTATTTATATTATTAATATAAAAAAAGTCATCTATATATTACCTCTGAATTATTGTCTTCATCATAATCTACATCCTCATTTTGGGTAAAGAAACATATACCATCTAAAGAACCTATTTTAAACATGAAAATTTAAATTGAAAATTAACTACTTAATTAAAGAATAAAAGAAATATACCATAAAAAATAAAAGAAATATAACCTTAATACCTTTGAGATATGTTCTTAACTAATCTTGAAGACACATCAATCTTGAATACCTTTAAAATTCTTCTCTTTCACAATTTCATTGGAATTCACAATAAACTCTAAAAATTAAATAAACAGCTAAGCATTCATAGTTTTCTCAATTTCTTTTATCCTTATCATGAAATAATTTAAAACTCAGGACGGGGATCCCCGTAAGGCCCTGCGGGGTGGGTAAAATTCCCCATGAAATTTCACGAGAGAAAAATGCCCCCAATCCTGCCCACAGAGAAAAATATTCCTCCACGTCGCATCCCCATGACAAAAATCTCCACAAGACCCTGCAAGGATCAGGGTAAATTGCTATCCCTAGCCCCGTTCCCTTCTTCTGCCTCTCGTGTCTCTTTTGAAAATGTTTGCAACCTTGGATTCCTATCTAAATCTAATCTTGTTTTCCTATTATTTATTTTTATTTGTATCATATGCTTGAAATTCATGTTAAAAAAAAAAGAAGAGAAATTTAGACTTAAAATTTAAATTTAATTATATTGTTAATAATAATTTTTTATCAAAAATAAAAATTTTAAAATTTAAATTCAAATTATCATAATATATATGTAAGATAATATAAAAATAAGATAAAATTACATTTTATTATATAATTGAAAAATAAAAAAAGGGATAAATCATTAATTAAAAAAGAAAAAGCTCGGAGCCTTTCAATGGGAAATTTTTACTGTAATTTGAAAATATTAAGTATTTTTGATTAATTATAACATACTATCTTATCATTTTGACTGTTGAATGAGCTGACAAGATGAATGAGATTTGATCGAAAATACCACATTAACGGTTAATGTTCGAAGATACAGCAAACTTTCTCTTTTCGATGCCCCGTTCCCTTCTTCTGCCTTTCGTGTCTCTTTTGAAAATGTTTGCAACCTCGGATTCTTATCTAAATCTAATTTAGTTTTCCCATTATTTATTTTTATTTGTATTATATGCTTGAAATTTATGTTAGAAAAAAAAAATTTAGATTTAAACTGTAAATTTAATTATATTATTAATAGATAATTTTGTATATATATTTTTAATATTATATTTTTAATAATAGAAAATAAGTATAATCAAGTAAATTTTTTAATCAACTTTTGATATTATTATATTATA